CTTTCTCTTTCTTTTTCTCTTTCTTTTCTTTTTCTTTCTTTCCCTTTCTATCTCTCTCTTTCTGTCTCCTGTTTCTTTCTGTTTCCCTCTCTCTTTCTCCTTTTTCTTTCTGTTTCTTTCCCTCTTTCTATCTCTCTCTTTTTGACTCCTGTTTCTTTGTTTCTCTCTGTTGGTCTTTCTCTCTTTCTTTTTCTCTTTCTTTCTCTTTTTCTCTTTCTCTTTTGTCTCTCGTTTCTCTTTCTCTTTTTCTTTGTCTTTCCTTTTTCTTTCTCTCTTTTTCTTTCTTTCCCTGTCTTTCTCTTTCTCTTTTTTCTTTTTCTCTTTCCCTTTCTTTCTCTCTCTTTTCCTGTCTCCTATTTCTTTCTGTTTGTTTGTCTTTCTTTCTTTCCTTTTTCTGTCTTTCTCTTTCTTTTTCTCTTTCTTTTTCTATCTCCCGTTTCTTTTCTTTTTCTCTTTTTCTTTCTGTCTTTTTCTCTCCTTTTTTCTCTTTCTTTTTCTTTTCTTTCTCTTTGCCTTTTTCTTTCTTTTTTCTCTTTTCTTTTTTTCTGTCTATCTCTCTCCTTTTCTGTCTCCTGTTTCTTTCTGTTTCTCTCTTTTTCTTTCTCTTTGTTTTCTTTTTCTTTCTTTCTGCTTCTTTCTTTTTCTTTTTCCCGTTTCTTTTTCTTTTTCTTTTTTTCTGCTTTCTTTCTTTCTCTCCTTTCTTTCTTTCTCTTTATTTCTTTTCTTTTTCTTTCTTTCCCTTTCTATCTCTTTCTGTCTCCTGTTTCTTTGTTTCTCTCTCTCCTTCTTTGTTTCTTTCCCTCTTTCTCTCTTTTTGACTCCTGTTTCTTTGTTTCTTTGTCTTTCTTTCTTTTTTTCTTTCTTTCTCTTTCTCTCTTGCTCTTTCTTATTGTCTCCCTTTTTTTCTCTTTTTCTTTCTCTTTTTCTTTGTCTTTCTCTTCTTTTTTCTTTTTTCTTTTTCTCTTTCCCTTTCTATCTCTCTTTTCTTGCCTCCTGTTTCTTTCTGTTTCTGTTTGTCTTTCTTTTTTTCCTTTTTCTCTTTCTCTTTTTCTCTCCCGTTTCTTTTCTCTTTCTCTTTTTCTTTCTGTCTTTTTCTCTCCTTTTTCTTTCTTTCTTTCTCTTTCCTTCTTTCTTTTTCTGTCTCCCTTCTCTCTCTCTCTCTCTCCCTCCCTCCCTCCCTCTCTCCCCCCTACCATCTTTCTCCAGAGGAGGCAGAAATGCCTGGCCTGCTTCAAGTTTGACGACAACAATCCCGGAACGCTGCTGAACAAATCCCTCCGATGTTTATCCGAGCAGAATCCCCTTTTCCAGGTGGGTCCACCTTCCTCTTCCTCATCCACTCGCGCAAGGCCGGCATCCCGGCTACTCCCCCCCTCCCCAGGGGAGCGGAGGCAAATCTCCCAGAATCCCCCCTAGGTGTCCCGGGAGGGTCCGGGGTCTCCCACGATCCCTCGGAGGGGAAAATAATAATCCGCCGGGGGAACTTCATTGTGGATCGCCCAGGTTACTGGAATCTCCCCTGGGAATAGCTGGATGTGGAGGGGGCGAGGGAGAGGGGGGAGTAGAGGTGGGAAGGCCTGGGAGGAAAAGCTGGAAAAATTGGGGGGGGGGGGGGGAAACAGGGTTTGCACTGAATGTAGAACAGACTAGAATAAAAACAAGAATAGCAATAAGAATAGAATAGAATGGAATAGAATATAGAATAGAATATAGAATGGAATTAAGAGGATACAGTATAGAATAGAATAGAAACAAGAATAGAAATGAGAATAGAATGTAGAATAGAATAGAATAGAATAGAAAATAGAATAGAATATAGAATAGAATAGAATAGAATAGAATAGGAAATATAGAATAGAATAGAATAGGAAATATAGAATATAAAATAGAATAGAATGGAATAGAATATAGAACAGAACAGAACAGAATAAAAAATAGAATAGAATAGGAAATATAGAATAGGAATAGAATAGAAAATAGAAGAGGAGATAGAATAGAATAGAATATATAGAATAGGAATAGAATAGAATAGAAAATAGAATAGAAAATAGAACAGAATAGATAGAATAGAATAGAATAGGAAATATAGAATAGAATAGAATGTAGAATGTAGAATAGAATGTAGAATAGAATAGGAATATGGAATAGAATAGAATATAGAATAGACTAGAATAGGAATATAGAATAGAATAGAATAGAAAATATAACAGAATAGGATAGAATAGAATATAGAACAGAATGGAATGGAATGGAATATAGAATAGAAAATAGAATAGAATAGAATATAGAATAGAATGTAGAATATAGAATATAGAATATAGAATAGAATGTAGAATAGAATAGAATAGGAATATGGAATAGAATATAGAATAGAATAGAATAGGAATATAGAATATAGAATAGAATATAGAATGTAGAATATAGAATATAGAATATAGAATAGAATGTAGAATAGAATAGAATAGGAATATAGAATAGAATAGAATAGAATAGAATAGAATAGAATAGAAAATATAACAGAATAGGATAGAATAGAATATAGAACAGAATGGAATGGAATGGAATATAGAATAGAAAATAGAATAGCACAGAACAGAAATAAGAAGAGAAATAAGAACAGAATAGAAATAAGAATAGAACGGAATTAACAACAGAACATAGAATAGGATGTGGAACAAGACAGAACAGAACAGAAAAAGGGGTCCCCCCCCCGGTTTCCTGCTTCCCCCCCAAAAAAGCCATTCCCATCGCAGCCCCGCCCTTCCCCACAAAGCTGGCGAAAAGTGTGTGTGTGTGTGGGGGGGGGTGTCTCTTCCCACCACCGGTTGGCATTCCTCTCCCCCCCCTCCTTGGAGATGCCAACTCCCCCCCCCACATCTCTGCCCACCCTCAGGAGGCGAGGCGGCGGCAAGAAGCCGAGTGCCAGGCCATCAAGGCGACCAACGAGGACCGCTACCTTCCCGGGAAGTTCGCCTTTTCCGTGGGGCTCCCTTCCTGACCCTCCCCGGCGGAGGCCGGCCAGGTAGGTAGCCGGTCTTCACCTGTGGTTGAGCCGGACTGCCGCAGCCCCCCACCCCCTCCCCGGCCTCCGAGAGGAGAGGAGAGGAGGATGGGGGATCGTCCGGGATGGAAGGAGGCGTCCGAAAGGGGTTTCGGATGATCCTCCGAGCCGGGATGGGGAGAAGGGGATAGTAGGAAGAGTCCGCAGGCAGGGTTTCTTTTGAGGCGCTCCGCGGCGGTCTCCGGGCCTGGTGGCGGCGGACGTTTCGTCGGCCAACTAAGGAACGGCGTCCGAGCGTCGATGCGGGGGATCTGGTTGGGATCGGGAAAAGGTTGGCGAGGAAAGAGCCCAAGCGGGGGAACCCTAAGGAAAGGACGTTGTTCTTTCTTTCTTTCTTTCTTTCTTTCTTTCTTTCTTTCTTTCTTTTTTTCCTTTTTTCTTTCTTTCCTTCCTTTCTTTTTCTCTTTTCTTTTTCTTTCTTTCTTTGTTGTTTTTTTGTTTTTCTTTCCTTTTCTCTTTCTTTCTTGTCTCTCTCTTTTCTCTCTCCCTCGTCTCTCCCTTTTCACTCTCTCTCCTTCCTTTCATTTCTTTTCCTCTTTCTTTCTTTCTCTTTTTCTTTCTTGTCTCTCCCTTTTCACTCTCCCTCTCCTTCCCTTCATCTCTCTTTTTTCTCTTTCTTTTTCTTTCTTTCTTTCTTTCTTTCTTTTCTTTTTCTTTATTGTTCTGTTTCTTTCTTTCCTTTTCTCTCTCCCTCTTGTCTCTCCCTTTTCACTCTCCCTCTCCCTCCCTTCATTTCTTTTTCTTTCTTTTTCTTTCTCTTTCTTTTTCTTTCTTTCTTGGCTCCCCCTTTCTTTCGCCTCTCCCTTTTCTCTCTCCCTCTCCCTCCCTTCATCCCTTTCTTTCTGTCTTTCTCTTTCTTTGTTTCTTTCTTTTTTCTTGTCTCCCTTTTCTCTCTCCCTCCCTTCATCCCTTTTTTTCTTTCTTTCTTTGTTTCTTTTTCTTTCTTTCTTGTCTCTCCCTTTTCTCTCTCTCATTCCCTTCGTCCCTTTCTCTTTTCTTTCTTTTTCTTTCTTTTCTCTTTCTCCTTTTTTTCCCTTCTCCTCCTCTCCTCCTCCCCCCTTCTCCTCCTCCCCCTCCTTTCTCCTCCTCCTTTCTCTTCTTTCTCCTCCTCCTCCTTCCTCTTTTTCCTGTTCTTCCCCTCCTCCTCCTCCTCCTCCTCCTCCTCTCCCCCTATTTCAACCCCAAGCTACAAAGATCTTCCCTCCTCTTCTTTATTTAAGGCATGCAGGCAGCCCCTTCTTCCTCTTATAACCCCCTGTAGGTCGCTTCCAAGGTGTTTCATCCCCAGGGGGCTTTTGGGGACCCCTCTGTCCCCGGAGAGAATGTTGAAGGTCTCCTCTTATCTCTCTCTCTCTCTCTCTCTCTCTTTTCTTCTTCCCCCTAAACAGAGCTGCACGGACCCAGCCGACCGGCATCCATGCGGGGACCCGGGCATCGGCCCCCTCAGAGGGAAGGGCCGCGTCCCGACGCATCACCCCCCCACCCGTCCGATCTCTCTCGGTCCCCCCAATAAAATTGCAAGCCAAGTTTTCACCCTGGACCCCTCCTGCCTGTCATTTCTGCTCCCCGGGGTATTCGCGTGGCGCCCAACGTGGGTAGCGACGTCGGAAGCACAGATGGCGCCGGGCGGGCCTTCTACGATTTTGGCGGCGGAGGGGGGGAAGGGGTGGCCCCCCCTCTACAAACGGCCCTCTACGAACGGGCGGGAGACCCGCGACACGCAACCGAGCCGCGCAGGGCGGCGAAGGTCGTGGGGAACGTCCCCCCTGGGGGGCGCCGTGCGAATTCGGCTTCTGGGGTTTGCCATCCTGGCAAAGACGGCGGTTCCCAGTTGCGAAGTCGCGCCCGACTTTTCCGTTTTATGGACAACCCCCCCCCCCCAAAAAAAAGCAGGATTGCCAAGGTGCCAAGTTTTGTTGTCGTGGTTGCGGTTGTTTTAATGGGTTGTCGTGTCTCCGCTTAGGGAAATTGCTAGCCCCGGAGAATGGGGAGGGGGCGTCTGTTGCAGGAGCATCCTGGCTTGATTCCCTCCACCATCACCCGGCTGTGCCAACTAGGCTGAGATTCCTCAAATGCTTGCTTAGTGGAGAAACCCGGGGGTTAAACTGGGAGAGAATTGTGATGACCTTGCTAAGCAGCATCAGTGTGTGTGTGTGAGGGTGTGAGGGTGATCCCCATGTCCCTTCTCTAGTGGACGTGGCCAACTCAGTATAGCCAACTAGGCATGACCGCCTCGGTGTCACCAATGTGGCACGGCCAACTTGACGTGGCCCACTAGGCACCNTCCTCCTCCTCCTCCTCCTCCTCCTCTCCCCCCATTTCAACCCCAGGCTACAAAGATCTTCCCTCCTCTTCTTTATTTAAGGCATGCAGGCAGCCCCTTCTTCCTCTTATAACCCCCTGTAGGTCGCTTCCAAGGTGCTTCATCCCCAGGGGACTTTGGGGGACCCCTTCCTCCCCAGAGAGGAGATTGAAGGACTCTCTCTCTCTCTCTCTCTCTCTTCTCCCCCCTAAACAGAGTTGCACGGACCCAGCCGACCGGCATCCATGCGGAGACCCGGGCATCGGCCCCCTCGGAGGGAAGGGCCACATCCCGACGCATCACCCCCCCACCCGTCCGATCTCTCTCGGTCCCCCCAATAAAATTGCAAGCCGAGTTTTCACCCTGGACCCCTCCTGCCTGTCATTTCTGCTCCCGGGGTATTCGCGTGGCGCCCAACGTGGGTAGCGACATCGGAAGCACAGATGGCGCCGGGCGGGCCTTCTACGATTTTGGCGGCGGAGGGGGGGAAGGGGCGCCCCCCTCTACGAACGGCCCCCTACGAACGGGCGGGAGACCCGCGACACGCAACCGAGCCGCGCAGGGCGGCGAAGGTCGTGGGGAACGTCCCCCCTGGGGGGGAAGGTGGGGCCGCCGTGCGAATTCGGCTTCTGGGGTTTGCCGTCCCGGCGAAGGCAGCAGTTCTCAGTTGCGAAGTCGCGCCCGACTTTTCCGTTTTACGGACACCCCCTCCCCAAAAAAAGCAGGATTGCCAGGGTGCCAAGTTTTGTTGTCGTGGTTGCGGTTGTTTTAATGGGTTGTCGTGTCTCCGCTTAGGGAAATTGCTAGCCCCGGAGAATGGGGAGGGGGCGTCTGTTGCAGGAGCATCCTGGCTTGATTCCCTCCACCATCACCCGGCTGTGCCAACTAGGCCGAGATTCCTCAAATGCTTGCTTAATGGAGAAACCCGGGGGTTAAACTGGGAGAGAATTGTGATGACCTTGCTAAGCAGCATCAGTGTGTGTGTGTGAGGGTGTGAGGGTGATCCCCATGTCCCTTCTCTAGTGGACGTGGCCAACTCAGTATAGCCAACTAGGCATGACCGCCTCGGTGTCACCAATGTGGCACGGCCAACTTGACGTGGCCCACTAGGCACCTCCAATTTGGCATGGCCAATTTGGCATGGCCAACTCAACGTGGCCAATTAGGAACAGCCAATTCGGCATGGCCAACTCAATCTGGCCAACTAGGCACAGCCAATTTGGCATGGCCAACTTGGCATGGCCAACTCAATGTGGCCAACTTGGCACGGCCAACTTGGCATGGCCGACTCAACGTGGCCAACTTGGCACGGCAGACTCAACGTGGCCAACTTGGCACGAGTAATTCGGCATGGCCAAACTTGGCATGGCCAACTCAACGTGGCCAACTTTGCATGGGCAACTCAGTATGGCCAACTTGGCACGGGGAACTTGGCGTGGCCAACTTGACATGGCCAACTCAATGTGGCCAACTTGGCATGGCCAACTCAGTGTGGCCAACTTGGCACGGTCAAATCGGTGTGGCCAACTTGGCACGGCCAACTCAACGTGGCCAACTTGACACGGCCAACTTGGCACACCCCACTCACCACAGAACAACTTTCAATGGCTAACTTGCGACGGAAGAACTCACGATGGGACAATTGCACAACATATAATTTAAATATTTCCAAGAACTTTAAAGAAATCGTTTTAATCTTTCTCCTTCACCCTTCCTTTTCGTTCCTCCTTCGGCGTCCTTCCTCGAGTGAGTCTGTTCCACCCTTTCTTCGATATTAGCCTAACTCTTCTTCCGCAGCGAGTCGGTTACGCCGAGCTGGTCGCAACGAGTCGGTTACGCCGAGTTGGTCCTCTTGAATTGGCCGCGGTGAGTCGGCTACGCCGAGTACGTCGCAACGAGTCGGTTACGCCAAGTTGCTCGAGATGAGTTGGCCGTGGCGATTTGTCCCGCGGCTTCTTGGACATGTCAAGCTGGCCGCGGCACGGTGGTTACGCCGAGTTGGCTGCGGCGAGCGGTCCTCGACCCTTGGCACATCTGGAGCTGAGTAGCCGGGAGGTGTTGTGTCCGTGCCAGCCACTGGACCTGGCAGCTGAGTCCGGGGAATCGGAGGAGAAGGAGGGGCCTGGAGAGCCATCCGAGTCAGAGGAAAGCTCTGAGGAGGTCCAGGACTTACAGTAGGACGAGGAGCCTGGCCCCTCTACTCGTGCTTAGGCTGAGATCCAGCTGTGCTGGGAAGCTGAGTCAGGCTCTGAGGACTCGCAGCTGGGAGGCATCACAGACGCTCGCAAACGCCGACAGGCCACAAGAGCAGGACAGAGGGAGGCAACAGGGCGACTCCAAGGGAGGAGGAGGAGGAGGAGAAGGCATTGAGAAGCCATGCCTTGGGGCTGCGTAATAAAAAGGGAAGAGTGTGGGCGGTGCTGGTTGCCGAAGGCAGCCGTTCGCAGAGGACTCCAGTTTCGCAGAATCGGATTCGGTTTGCCTCGTGAACAATTCTCCGTTTGCATCGTGGTTTGTTTGCCTTGGATAATTCTCCGTTTGCATCGTGGTTTGTTTGCCTTCGCTTCGGGGACATTTTGCAGGCCTGTATCTAATTAACAAAAGGGGGGTTGTTTTTCCTGCATTTCCAGCCTACTTGTTAAAAGAGGGATTCGTAGGCAGGGACAGAACAGGAGGTTCAAAAGAGATACGAGTTGGCCTCGAGACGTCCGCCCCCGAGGGCCCGCTCGGCCTGGCTGATGCTGTGGTCCGCCTGCTTGCCCAGTTCCCGGCATTCCAGCAAGGCCTCGTTGAACTGCTTGTAAGCTTTCTCCACGATGGAGCTCCTCCGGGCCGGCTGCACCTCCCAGTAGCCTTCCTCCACCCAGGGCTGGGCCCGGCCGGCCATCTCGGGCGGAGCCCCGCCGTTGCCGCAACGTTGCAGCGAGCGATCCAGATCCTTGCACAGCTGGTAAAGCTCGCTACCCCGTCCGGACACTCTCTCGCCGTCGATGACCTTGACCCACGGGAACATTTCCGACAGGACAGCCGGATAGCCGGCGGCGGCAGCGAGGCAGAAGGGGTTGCTGAGACGGGACGGGCCGTTGTGGAAGCGCACGTTGTCCAGGTGCCGCAAGCCCAGCAGGCACTGCAGCTGCTGCAGGTTGCGCAGCTGGTTGCCGGCGGCGTTGAGGCTCTGCAATTTCTCGCAGCCGCTCAGGGGGTCCAGGTTCGAGATGCGGTTGGCCGAGAGGTTGAGCACGGTTAAAGCTTTGAGCGAAGCCAGCGGGCCCAAGTGGGTCAGGCCGTTGCCCGACAGGTCCAGCCACTCCAGGCTGGCGCACTCTCCGAGGCAGCCCAGCTCCAGAATCCCCAGGCCTCTGAGCTTGAGCAGAAGGATGGACCCCAAGTCGAATTCTCCCGTCCGGCTTTTCAGCAGCTGGACGGTAATCTTCCCGTTCTCCAGATCGTCGCCTCTGTCGCTCCGGAAGTCCATTGCGGTCTAGCTGGAGGGTAGAGAGAAGAGAATAGAGCTGGAAGGGACCTCGGAGGTCATCTAGTCAAACCCTCTGCTCAAGCAGGGGACCTTTACAGAATGATAGAATTACAGAGTTGGAAGGGGCCTCGGAGGTCATCTAGTCCACCCCACTGCTCAAGCAGGAGACCTTTACAGAATCACAGAGTTGGAAGGGACTTCACAGGTCATCTAGTCCAGCCCCCTGCTCAAGCAGGAGACCCTGACAGAATCATAGAATGACAAAGTTGGAAGGGACCTCGGAGGTCCTCTAGTCCAGCCCTAAGGCGGGACTAGAACTCACCATCTCCTGGTGATTGGCCCAAACCCACCCAGCTGGTTTTCCTGCCTAAGGCAGGACTAGAGCTCACCCACTAATGTTTATTGGCATAGCCTGACCCATGAAACAAAACATAAAACAAAAACAAAAGAAAACAAATAGGGAAAGTAAACTAAATAAAATAAAAATAATATATAAAATAAGAAATAAAATAAAAATAAAACAAAGTGAAAATGAAATAAAATAAAAATGAAATGAAATGAAATAAAATAAAAATTAAGATAAAAATAAAACAAAGTGAAAATAAAATAACACCAAATAATAAAATGAAATAAAAAATAACCTCAAATGATGTGAAATAAAATTACATTTTAAAATAAAAAAAAAATAAAAAATAAAAAATATAAAATTAAATAAACAAAATTAAAAAAGTAAATGACATAAAATAAAAAGAAACAAATAATGAAAGTAAAATAAATAAAATAAAAATAAAAAATGAAATAAAAAATAAAATAAAAATAAAGTGAAAATAAAATAACACCAAAATAATAAAATGAAATAAAAAATAACCTCAAATAATAATATGAAATCAATAAAATAACATTTTCAAACAAAAAATAAAATAAGAAATAAATAACATAAAATTAAAATAAAATGAAACAAATGAGTCAAATAAATAAAATAAAAATAAAACAAAACAAAATAAAAATAAACTGAAAATAAAATAACACCAAATAATAAAATGAAATAAAAATAACCTCAAATAATATGAAATCAATAAAATAACATTTTAAAATATAAAATAAAATAAAATATAAAATATAAAAGAAAAGAAACAAAACAAAATAAAAAAGGAATAACATAAAATAAAAATAAAATGAAACAAATAATGAAAGCCAAACAAATAATATAGAAATAAAATAAAATAAAAATAAAGGGAAAACAAAATAACACCCAATAGTACAATAAAATAAAATAAAACGAAATAAAAAATAACCTCACATAACAAATAATAGAAAATAAATAAAACAAAACTTGAAAAAAACAAAAAAAAATACAAAACAAAATAAAATTTAAAAATAATAATAAAAAAAATATGAAATAAAATAAAAGGGACATAACAAAACAAAACTTCACCCCCAGATTGCCCTTAATCTTTAGAACAAGCCCAGGGAGGGTGGGTGGGGGGGAATCCCCTAGATCCATTTCGGAATCCTCCCCCCCGCCACGCTCCAATCTGGGACCCCCAAATCTGTCTGGATCCCTTCCGCCTCTTCTCCTGGGACGCAGCCCCGGGCCCCAAGGCGCTAGTCCTCAAGCACTAGGGCTTGCTTTTTCTGAGCTGTTTGCCGCAGAGTTCTCAAATGAGGAGGGGGGGTGTCTCTTAAGCACTCGGGGTGGGGGTGGGGGGGAGGTTGCTGGGGGTCCCTTTCCCCCCCCTTCGCCCGGCCTCCTCCCTACCTCGCAGGGCTGTCGTGGGGACAAAAAAAATCCCCAGCCTTTCGCACCTGGCATCAATCCCAGCCTTCTTCATAACCTCAAATGAGCCTCCCAAAACACACACACACACACACAAACATTGCTGCGTGCCAGGCACTGCGGCAACCAGCCACAACACAAACACAACACAGTTGCCCGGGAGGGTTGCTAAGGATGGGGACCGACCTGGCTGCCATTTGGTGTCTGTGTGTGTTTGTGTTTGTGTTTGTGTGTGTGTGTGTGTGTGTGTCATCTCCCTCCCCTCCCCGGGCAGAGGGGCACGGATGCGTCCCCCCCCCCACCAAAAGGATGGAGGCGGGTACCAGCATCCTTCCTCCCCTTCTTCTGTCTCCATGGCAACCCCCTTGCATCCTCTCAGCATCCTCCCTCCCGGCCTTCCTTGGGTCTTTCTTGGGGGGGGAGTGGGGGAGAAGAGCCCCCCCGCTTTTCTCCCCCTCACTCCTCCCCCCACCCGGCGGGCCCTGCACCCCCTTACCCTTCCTCCTCTTCCTCTTCCTCCTCCGGCTGTTCCGGGCCCCCTCCCTGCCCGAGAAAGGGCCCGCATTGCCATGGCGACGCCCTCCCCTCCCGGGGGGGGGGTTTAAAGGCACAGCAAGCCTGGATTCCCCCCTTTTTTTCTCCTTTCCGCCCCCCAAGGAAAAAAAAAAGAGGGGGAGCTGCAGGCTTGTGGGGGGGGGCAATCTTCCTGCAAGCCGGGCGCCCGCGGGCGCCTCCCTGGCCGGCCGGGGAGACTCACCTGCTGGGGGGGGGCAGCTCTGCCCACCCCCACCCCCCCACGCCGGTGGGGATGATGGGAAGGGCAGTCCTAACCCAGCCGCTCCCTATCCGGCTGCTCGGCCCCCGCAGCGGCCCCCCCCCCCGCTGCCGAAGAGCAAGAATGGTGAGAATGGTGGTTTAATGCTGGTCTTAGTGGCGAGGATGGCGCCCCCTGTCGGGACTAGGACGGGGTGAGGAGGAGGAGGAGGAGGAGGAGGAGGACTGTGGGGTCCCTGGTGCTTTGTGAGCTGGGCGGTTTCCTTGCAGACGTCTCATGACCCAACTAGGGAACATCATCAGTGTTAGAAAGGAGGGGGGGTGGGTTTGTTCTGTTTACATTCAGTTCTTTCTAGCACAGATGACGTTCCCTAGTTGGGTCATGAGACGTCTGCAAGGAAACCACCCAGCTCAGAGAGCACCAGGGATCCCCCCAGTCCTCCTCCTCTTCCCCCTCCTCCCCACAAATCTCACTCCCTTCTAGCACTGAAGACGTTCCCTAGTTGGGTCATGAGACGTCTGCAACGAAAACCCATAAAATTTTAAAAATTCCGGGCATTCCTGCTGAAACGTTGGCAGAGGAGAGACGGCTAACCTACACAATATTATAACATACTTATTTAGTAAATAAAGCACAGACTTCAGGTAATGAAAAGCAAGCAAGCTCAGAGAGCGTCAAGGGCCCCTCAAACACAGAGATAATAAGACAATACTATTAATATTAGAGACCCACAAAGACAACAACAACAACAATAATGATGATGATGATGACAGAAAAATAATTAAGAGTGTAGGATAATACGCCAGCTTTGGAACACATCTTTGAATACTTTGGGGTTTTTTTTTTTTTTTGAAGCCTTCTAAAAAGTTGAAAGTACTGGGAAATGGGAAGAAACACTGGAAGTTTTTAAGAAGAGACTGGACAGCCATTTGTCTGAAATGGTATAGGGTTTCCTGCCTGAGCAGGGGGTTGGACTAGATGACCTCCAAGGTCCCTTCCAACTTTATTATTATATTATTATTAGTAGTAGTACTATTATTATTATTATAAAGAGACTGGACAGCCATTTGTCTGAAATGGTATAGGGTTTCCTGCCTGAGCAGGGGGTTG